CCAAAGCACCACCATCTCTCTCTCCTGGGTTCGATAATTCGCTGCAGTGGCCACACAGAACTCACAGATTATGAGGTTTATTAGGGAAGCACCAGGTTACAATTCAAGTTCAGGAAAAATGCTCAGTCTCCCTCCCAGCCCACCGTCTCTAAGTCAAGTCTCTCACAGTCTCTCCCCCAGCAGTGCATGTCCCTCGGTGTCTTACTCAGCAATGCATGTCTCTTGCGTCTCTCTCCCAGCAGCACGTGTCTCTTTCAGGAGCACATGTCTCTTTCAGCAGCACGTCTTCCCCAACCAGCAGTCAGAGAGAGTTCTGCCTCTAGGAGGCCTCCTTTTGAGCCTGGCAGAGTGGCCAAACTAGCCAATAACAGCATCAGAACTCTAAGCACCTGAGAGAGAGTGGGAACCTCCCAGAACATTGTTTTGTGCCACTCCCAAAAGAAATACTCCAGGTGGACAACTTTAGCAATCAGGAGCTCCTCAGTTGCTCATAGCAAATCCCACCTTGGAGTTTACAAAAAATTATGGGTAGAAAAGCCACATTAAGTAATTTACCACACCGCAGATGTCATGTGGTGGCTCTGATTCATAGTGACCTTATTTACAACAGAATGAAACACGAGGTTTAAAATTTTTCTTCTGTTCTTTCAGCTTGAGAAACGATGAGTGTGTTCTTCTCTTTTGGTTTTCTAACTCCAGGTCTTTGCACATTTCATTATAGTAATTGACTTTGTCTTCTTGAGCTGCTCTTTGAAATCTTCTGTCCACCTCTTTTATCTTATGATTTCTTCCATCTGCTTTAGCTACTCTCCATTTAAGAGCAAGTTTCAGAGCCTCTTATGACATCCATTCTGGTCTTTCCTTCCTTTCTTGTCTTTTTAATGATCTTTTGCTTTCTTCATATATGCCGTTCTTGATGTCCTCCCACAATTTGTCTTGTTGTCAGTCACTGGTGTTAAATGCATCAAATCACATGGTCTCTAAATTCATGTGGGATATAATCAAGGTCATATTTTGTCTCTCAAGGACTTGCTTTAATTTTCGTCAGCTTCAACTTGAACTTGCATATGAGCAATTGATGGTCTGTTCCACAGTCAGTTCCTGGCCTTGTTTTGGCTGAAGATATTGAGCTTCTCCATTGCCTCTTTGCATAGATGTAGTTGATCTGATATCTGTGTATTCCATCTGGTGAGGTCCACATGTACAGCCACCATTTATGTTGTTGAAAAAAGGTATTTGCAATGAGTAAGTTGTTATCTTGCAAAATTCTATCATGTTCTCTCTGGCATCATTTCTATCACCAAGGTCATATTTTCCAGCTACCAATGAGTCTTCTTTGTTTCCAACTTTTGCATTCCAAACACCAGTAACCAT